GGGAGTATTGTAATATCACTCATAAAACGAATTTATCAAATATTATATTATATATATATATATATATATATATATATAAGTGCGTAAAATATTTTTATATTTCATATTTTAGATTCTTCTATGATGGATTAACTATTATGTGTATTCAAATTTTTTTTTTTTTTTGTCTATAAATAAATATTTTTCTACCAGAGATTTTACTCTAGTAAAAAAAAAAAAACCAACGAGAGGTTTTTCAAAGGGTTTTGAATCGAGTTTCTGCATTGTGGGTGTCATTGTTTGACATTCCTTGTAGTTTATGCTCGGGAATAACTGGTGAAAATCGTATGAGAAATAAGACACGGACATACTTCGTACGATGGGTGGACCACTTGTTATAGATGAGAAGGCAAATTATAGAGGCGAATTTTATGTATATCTGTACGCAATGATTAATGTTTGCTAACGAACAACGATTCTGAGCGGAGTTCGGTTACGCATGTTTCGAATGGTCGTTTAATATTTATCAATTGAAAATAATACATTTCGTAAATTTTTAATATATTTTCTTTGTTTCTTCCCGGTTTTTCATATTTATTATAAGAATCCCTGGTAAAATCAAAAAATGATCTCCTTAAAGTATCACTCCAGCCAGATTTGCTTCCAAAAAAAGTGCTACATTTGAAAATAGAAGCAAAATTTCAGATAGAATAGATATTCACAGAAAAGAAAAAAAAAATATAATAATAATGTACATCATTTTAAAACCAATATATTCCTCGCTCCACTCGAAATCTAAAATGTATAATTTACGAAATTCAAACTTTCAAAGTTTCAATTTTTTCGTTATCCATTTATATAATATCCATTTTAAAATTAAAATAAAAATATTCATAATTTTTATCGTGGTTATATTATTTTAAACATAAGTGAAAATCTTTTTGTGTAGGTATCTATCCTATGAAGTTCTATGATTCTGTTATACCGTTAACCAAAATTAGAAATATCCTGTGAAAATCGTCGACTAGATTAAAACGCGTGCACGATAAAAATTTTACTGACCTTGCGTAGTAATGTAAAATATATAGGTAGGTGTATATCGGAAATCGAAATAGTCACAAACCTTTTAGTCTTTAAATATGTGGTCGCTTTTTTTTCTCTCTCGTTCTATATAAGGAATCGGCAAACAAATCGTTGTTCGTATGAAAGTTTTTCTAATATATTATTCATCTTGAGACTTTGGCAGTTTTTATTAAAAAACGTTAGTCACCGTCAGTTTAAATCGTAACTCAATCCTCGCAGTTAAAAGAAGGAAAAAAACACCGCACCCTTATACTACTTGATTAAATAGTGTAAATCAATTATCATGTTGTTTTTTTTAATGGAATAATTTAACTTTTTCGATTTTGGTAAAAGTTTTGATAAAACGTGTTTTATTATCATGTGTCAAAATTGTAATCATTTTCCATATTATGCGGATTTACATACTTATTGTGCGTAAATTACAATAATTCACGCTATTAGTACAAAACACTAGTGCAATAAATCAAAAATGAAATTTTGGTTTACGCCGTTTCTCCAGTGGTGAAATTGCAGTTATTTAGGACGCATTACCGTATTTTATTCTTGTATCTACAGAATTAAACTAGTTAAACGAAAAAATATCGGAAGATATTAAAGGAAATAATTGGTTCCTGTAAATGCGAAATCAAAATAATACACGATTCTATAAGTTATAATTAATTGAAATCTAGTTAGCGGCTCAAGTACGCTACATTAAGGTACTAACTCAAAGAGTAAGTTTAACCATGCAATTTTACGTCTTTAGACATTCAAATTTATATTTCCAGATTTTGAACGAAGCGAAAAATATATTGATTTTACAATGATGTTTTCAAACAACTTTTCTACCAGAAACTTTCCCCAATCAAAAATTGTACAGGCACTTTCGTGTAGTATTTTTATCTAGTTTATTAATTCATTCAAGAAACTGTCTTTTTTTTTTTTTGTATTGTTTATAATAGATGGGAAAAACTGGACATTTTATTGTTGATTTTTGGGACACAAGGAACGAAATACGACTAGTCAGTTCAGTATCGCTTCTCATTATAAATGGTTTATCATTACGCATGAATACAGATTAAATTACACCTTACATCTTCCCTTATAACTTCATTCCTAAAACAGCGGCACGTCTATAAGCAGTATTGGTCTTTTTTAAACTGCAGGTACAGTTTAAATGTATAATTTTAGTTTAAACTACACATTGATCTAAAATTATTTAGTGATGGATAAAACACTTTATTGTATTTTGCATAAAAACGCATCAATTTTGATAGCGAGAATCGTGTCAAGTGTACAGAAATCGGACTGGATTAGTTTCACGTCAGTTCACTTCTTGGTTAAAAACAAAAAAAATAACCCAACTATTTATTATGTAGGTACCTATTCAAAACATAATATAATATACGTATGCACCATTATATCCCCGACGTTATTGCTCATCTGCATGTCATAAACGCGAAATTAAGCGTTTCGAGGATAATAATTTTACTACTAGATTCCTGACTGTATTATAATATAATATTATTACTGCGTAATATAAAACGCACGTATAATTTTATCGTATAAACTCGTTAGAATTTTTCGCATTTAACGTGCACGGTGTTGTATGCGGCTGCGACGACGGTTGCGCTAAACAATAATCACAATTAAAAAACGTATACTACATACATTATAATAATTTAAATGCTGATAGGCATAGTAAATTATTATCGTTGACTGCAATCGTAATAACACGTTTTAAAAACGGCGACGGCGGACGACCCTGTAACAATATTATAAATAACAAATATAACACTCGCGTGGGCTTATCAAAGCCCCTTGTTTATGGAAAACGCCGTCGATTTTAAGCCCTTTCGCTCGCACATATTATTATAACTACGGCGATATGGTTGTAATAATATTATAATTTACGATATACATTTACTGGCAAACAATCAGAAATAATTTTTTTTTTTTTTTTTTGCACGTGGTTTCGCGCAAAACAAACCCCGCAAGGGGTCACGCCGAGAATATTATTTGGCTTGGAAACCTGCAGGACCAATGCGGTTATAATACTATATACGTATAACAATAACGATACTCGTCTAAATTTGCAATTAAATTACAAACAGTATAAAAATGTTAATTTTGAACGATATCGAATTATTTACGTTTATATTTTATGGCCGTGCCGACCAAAAAAAAAAAAAACCAGAACACAATTCACGCCACGAGTGTAGGTCATCATCGGTCAAGGGGTGGAAAGTCAATAAGGTGATATTGGAATTGCTGAGAAAAAAAAAAGTTTCATTGTGATTAACTGGTAAGACTGTAATCGATCCCAGTAATCGAGGGGAGAAGGGGATGAAAAAGTCCAAAATATTCTGGCGTGAGCATTATAATAGAGATTTAAATTTCAAAACCCGGGACAAACCGTTTATTTACTTACGTCAAAATTAAGCTTTAATTCAGTTTGGGTGACGTGAGTTGCTGCACCACTATTCTGGGACAATCCTCCTCAGTAAAATGTGTGCAAGTGGACGGATAGTGGTTTGGTATTTACTAAACAATTGCGTCTAAAATATATATTCAACTAGACTGTGATTGGTAAAAAATATTCAATATATCATAATAATATAAAATATTACATCAAGATTAATGCTTGATATTTGATTGTGAAAATTTGATTGAATATTGTTAAACAGTAAATTGTATAGAGCTGATACGAAAAAAGCAGATGTGAATGATCAGGCAGTGTTCGATCAACTAATGCGTAGTGGTTCCCAATCCGTTCAAATATTCCCATCAGAATTTTGCAAATACGTAAAATGCATAACTTCAACAAACCTTTAAATTCACAATAAAAGATTTGATTCCTATTCGATCAAAAGTATTGCAGTTATTGAAACAATTTTCCGATCGCTATGAACTCTGGTTTTAAAATCGAAAAATTACGTCTTCCGGATACCAAAATGCTGAGAAAAAGCTGGTTATTTTTCGATTTGAGCAAGATTTTCGGTAGAAAAGTTGTTTACGGGCATAAAAAGAAAATCACATGGACCATGGTAAAACCAATCGATTTCTCTTTGAGCGCACACATTTTCTAAAATCAAAACTAATTTGCGCACATTTACGAGTATACACCTTGTTTGCGCACAGATTATTTCTCGTGCAACCACTGACAAATGTGGTGCCACGAATTTTCCTACCCACTTATAAGGACTTAGGACTGTCAGTGAATATTTCAACTTCCCTGATATTGTTAAAAATGTGCTTTTGGTGCGTGTTGATTACTTCAAAGGCATACCTCTTAGAAGCAGTTCATTTTCAAAGCAGTTACGAAAACATTATTTTTTATTGATATTAATTTAAGTTCAATTTTAATCGCGATCCTTTATCATGGTTAATTCCGTCGCCTGTATGTGTTAGCCGCGTATAAGTGAGTAATAATATTATGTACATAAAAAACATAATATTGTGTTGGCGAGTTATTTTATTTTGTAATATATTGTGCGCAATCGAGTTCCGGGTTTTAACAGAGACATTTTTAAACGCACGCAAACTAATGGTAATTTTTCTCGCTACGCTCAGAATTTTGGGGGAAGGGGGGAAAGGCGTTTCGATATTTCACGTCCGCGGGGTAAACGTAATGCTGGTCACTATGGACGGACCGTGACGGACAGAGTACAAAAAAACCGACCGACCGACATTTTCAAAACCGTCGTTGTTTCTGACGGACGTTTATTATACGTATACTTTCGACAGTAGCGTTATTATCGTATGTATATTTTGTATTTTTTCTTTCGAATGTTTTTTTTTTTTTTTTTTTTTTGTTTAAGAACCATTTCGAAGGATATTGGCGCCATCGAGTTTCGAAGCGATGTCGCGCGCTCGGTCCTGCAGCAATATTTCTATAAACTATTTATTTCGCCGTCATTCCGGTTTTATATAATATACTGACTGCAGACCTCTAACGTCTCTCTTTCTCTTTCGCTCTCCCCGGTACACGTATACGCGTATATGAGGGTTATTTATTATTTTTTTTTTTTTTCAAATCGAACCCGATGATGTTTAGCCGTATACGTACACACACGAGGGGAGATTCGATCGCATAACGATGACGCCCTGTCAATCGCACATTAAACGCACGTATATGTATACACATGCGAGTACAGTGTGTACTAAACGTATACCACCGCCGCCCCAGCAACGTGAAATTTTATTGATAAAGTTTCGGGGACGAATGCCAAAAGTCGGCATAAATCATTCAGATTTAATACGCCGACGCACGCGGCGTAAAGAAATTTCTATCGATTTTATATAAATCCGTACTTATAACGTTTCGTACGGCCCGCCGTATAGTTTAATATTATGCGGTAGAAGAAGAAGAAGAAACCTTTTAGTTTGTGTTTGAAATGTATAAAACGCCATCGTACGGATAATTATTATTACACCACGGATGACGGGTCGGCGGCGGCGGAGGCTGTGGTGGACGGTGCGACGGGAAAAGACGTGAACTTTCAACGTTCCGTAAAAAAATAAATAAATGAAACCGAGAGTGTTTTCGTAAAAAAATATGCTCGCGATCGCGAGTATCGCGCATACACGGCGTTTCAAACGTACAATTTCTGCGAATTTGCATGTATCAAAAAAAAAAAAAAAGAAAGAAAAATGAACAATATTGCGGAAGTTTTGAAAACTAAGTAAACCGAATATTCTGAAAATATATAGTCGAGTTTCATTACGATACAATTGTAGGTCCTACATATTTAAATCAACCATCAACGAAGAAAATGTATGCACCGGTAAATGCCAATCCACAGTTAAATTAGAAATGCGATGCTATGTTTACATTTTAATCGAGCTCCGACCACGGAATGATAAATCCGAGATCATTGGCCGGTTAAAGAGTTTAAAAAGAGACTAAGTTCGATGTTAACAAATAATTATCAGAGATCCGTCGCCAGAGTCGGATTTCCCCCAACGTTTTTGTATTGAAGTATCGCGAAACATTATTTAATCCAATATTTTAACAATTTGCTCATAGAAACGGTAAGAACGAGGGTTAAAAGTCGAAACCACCCAAATGCACATCGTTGATGCTTACGTCATGCAAATAAAAATGTCGCATTACCTGGCGTCATTTTGATTGTCTTCAAGTGGTGTACGAAGTCAGAAAAAAAAAATAAACACTCACCTCACATAACACGGTCAAATTTGTTTTGAAATTTAACAGAAATAATATGACTATTTCAATCGGCTATATAAAACTATTTCAATTCCCGAGTTTGAACTCGTTTGGTCCAGTGGAAACAAAAAAATTAACATAAATATTACAGTGACATTTCGAAGGAGAAAAAAAATAAAATCGATTACTGAGTTGTCTGAGTTTTTATATGGGTCGCTCTAAAAATCATAATCGCCTGCTGGCTGAGACTTACCAACGAAAATATACGAAAAGCATATCATAAAATATTTCCCCCGTTTATAAGCCCCGAACAATTACCTCGCGATTCTCGATCCGCCGAGTAAAAAGCGACTCGAAAAATCCCCGCAGCGATGTTCCGTAATGACGTACGAAGTCCTTGAAATAACGCTTAAAAAGTACCGCGGTGCGAAACGAGCCGTTCGATTATTTCGCCAGCCGATAAAAACGCGCGAAAAGCGTAATGTCTAATCTGCGCGACATCGTAAAAAGCGGTTAACCGTATCGTAAATTATTACGGGAACGCTACGGCCACGCTACAATAATATTAGTTTTTATTGCTGTCGCGCGGTGTGCAAGACTCGTCGTTCAGGCTTTGTCCGATCCGTTTTGACCGCCGCACTCGCCGTTCCGTCCGCCCGCAAGGTTTCCGATCGCGGGCTCGCAATAAGACACGACTGCGGTGAAAAATTCTGAGAAAAACGGATACGGGCGAGCGTAGTGTTATACCTGCACACGCGCACACGCATATACACACACGCACACACGCGATATACACGCGCGCGCACACACGCAAACACACACACACACACACACACACACACACACACACACACACACACACACACACACACGTACTCACCTGCCATCACACGCGTGCATATAGGGATAAACCGAAACGAACGTACCGCGTGTGCGGCAATATTAATCTGTTTTAATAAAACGCCGAGTCCCGAATACGCGCGTGCACCGCCGGGGTAGGTTACGATTTATCTCAAAAGGCTCGTCTATTATATTATTATTTTTTTTTTCGTCCCCTCTCCTCCACCGCCCCCGACGACCGTTTCGTCGTGTCGCGGTCCTGCGAGATCGAGATTTCGCTCGCCTCCGCCATCCTCCTCCCACCGGCCACCTTCCCGCGCCAGCTATCCGCCAACGATTTTCCGTCGGACCGTTTACGGAAAACACGGTCAAACGATGGCGTATATCGATTTCGGATATTATTACTGCCGAACCCGTATTACCTACCCCGTGTATTGGCCGGTCTTACTAAAATAGCATAACATACCTATATAGGTTGTGCGGTTTTTATTTTTTTCCGCGGTCCTGTGTGGGCACTTTTTCAGTTAGTGAACATCCACCAAAAACGTTCATAGACACTGTAAAAACGCTTTCGTAATAATAATAAAGGAAAAAAAAAATGACAACCAAAACGGACAATAAAATATGACGACACACGCCGTGATTTCTTGTACCGTTTTCTCGGGTAAAAACTACACCGGCTATAGATTTCATTATAAAAAGTAGAATCAGTTCTTGATTTGATTTTTTATGATTTCATCACCAAGAAATAAATTATTCGAATTTGAAAAACCGATATTCTTCAAATTTTAGAACAGTAATAACATTTTTTTTTACATTTTGTGATATCGAAAATTTAAAACCGACGTTGCACATTGATACAAGTTCTCTTGTTTAACGATGAAAAGTCGGTTTAACAATTATTATTCTATAACCTAAGTAGTTTTGCCCACCGAACAGTTTTTATAGTCTATAAGGATATATGTCTGCGTAATTGCAACATTAGCCGCGAGAATCCCCACCGAACGCGTTCAAATTCGGTTTACACTTTAATTATAGCCTGTATTGCAGTTACATTCGAATTTTCACTAGCAAAATAATCTTACGATTAATTTCGATCATATTATATAAAAAAAAAAAAAAAAATGTATACGTGTAATAACCAAGCAGCGCAGCATATAGAACATGAAAACAAAGATGGACCGTTATAGAGCTTATCCCAATTATTACGCAACGAGTTTTACGGAGTTAATCTTGAGAACGGGGCCAGAAAAGAAAACGCATAATACATGGACAGAATATGTAGACTCTTTTTCTTTATGAGCCGTATTAGCGGATTATTTAGGAACTAGACACTTCACCTTATCAAGAACCATGGGCTTAAATATATTTCAATGAAATCCGACTGCCTATGTAGGTATGTATCTAATAGATGGCGCTGGAGTTCATAGAGAAAAAATAACTCACGCGTCCCGCATTACCAGTTGTTTTTTATGGACGGTCCCCCACGCCCGTTGGTTTTCAGTCCTATACGTATTATTTTAGTACGTGCTCAAAACAAAACATAATATAATTTGTATTCAAAAGTGGCCGCGCCGCTGTCGGGAAAAATAACGTAACCTCAAAAAGTACCCCAGAGTATTAGGGATATAAATAGCACGGAAAAAAGACCGCTATCCCGAACAGTAATGATATAAAATTGCGGAAAATTAAATTGTATACTGCTAGGCCTTCAAGCTCTTGGGCTCATATTCTTCAATCTTTCCACCTCCCGCAGTTTCAAGCATTCTCCTTCCCTCTCATCGCTTAACTGCGTCTTGGTCTGCCGTACTATCGAACATGGAAGCGTCCTATGGGACCCCTCTATTTCGTATGCGATAGTACTATGATGGAAAGGGTTTGGGTAGATTTCCTTTGTGCGCTCGTCCTCAGAGTTCATATCCCTTTCATTCCTCATGATTATTCCTCTGTCTAAAATTCCCTAAATCTCTATAGTCACGCCGATCGTAGACGGTAGCGCAATCTAACCTAATTACATTTCCAATATCCTTAAAGGTTAAACTGATTCTTCTAATTTCCTCATAATAATTTCTTTCAGTCGTTCCCCGACCCACTCGCATATATTTTCCTTTTCATATTCCACATTTTCCGGCATATTTGTTTAGATCATAATCCTTAATTATCCTCGCTAAACCACGATTCGTCATTTATTGTAATAAAAGGAAATAATCATTATCAGCATCTATACATCATTCTTTCTCACTGTCATCACGTTAACAATTTGGCTAGTTATTAGTCCAAGCAGTTAGTTTCAGTAATCCACGTCTTATATTTTGGTCTCATCCCGAATCTTATATATAATTGCATAGTAATTTACTAGACAGTTTTAGTTTTAAATCCAGTCTCGATTAGTTTTAGTTTAGTTCGTATTGTTGTGTACCGTCTTTGTATTTTCAGGCGTCGGCCTGTGACCCCAGCGAGATAATGAAATAACGTGTCTCGTTAATTTCTTTATTATCCATATGATTTTCACGACCGGGCCCGTGGCTTGCGTTTTCAGTTGTCACGCGAATGAACGGCGCGATTTCGATAGCGTTTATTTTCGTGAGTCGTTTCCGACATGTTTTCGCGCCACCTCCGTGTACCCATTACAATATAAGTTAGAACCGTTATAACTTATAACTCATAGTGAGCCATTATCAATATGGCGCGATACTAATTTATTATTTATTTGTTGTCAGCACTTATATTTTACGGGAGTCGCGAACACTAACAGTGCGGGTATCGCTGCAATCAGGAATAAATCGACACTTCTTTTTACTACTTCTTAATCGAACCGTTTAGAAACCAGTTCGTAGTGTGTTAAGCTTGTTATCGCTTTTTGTGATCACTATAGTAACCGATAAACGAGACCGTGTCACCGGTGGTTGTTAGGAACACTGTATCGAAATGTCGAAAAAATACGTGAAAATTAAAATTTGCGCAACACCGTCCACCGCGGTAAAACGTCCGGTATTTTTTTCGATACGTCGACGGTTTTTGCTCATCTCTATAGCAGCGCGAGTAAATCGTCGTCCAATTGATAAAATTGACGAATCTTTACGCGCGCAAGATCAGTACAAACGACCGTACAAACAACTGTAGCTAAATTATTATAGTTTTCTTTTGATGGGGGGAAAAAAAAAAAAACAAACAAACACCGTCAACGATATAGTTTTACGGTGCTAGTGGAAAAAATAAAATAATGTTCACAATTTACAATAGACCGGCGGCATCG